CTAAAAGAGGGCAAACTTATTACTCAAAATGTCACTTATGTTACATAGAAAACAATATATATATATATATATATATATATATATATATATATATATATATATATATATATATATATATATATATATATATATATATATATATATATATATATGGGTGTGTCAATTTGATGACTAAAACCCAAAATTTTCAAAAAAAGAAATTTTATAGTGAAATTATGGTAGAACTTCATAAATGAAATGGAGTAATACTTTTAAAAATTAATTAAATTAAGCGGTAGCTACATTTTTTTGGGTTTTAATGTATTTAATTTGCTAATATTTTGAAAATCGTTAAAACAATGATCTATTTCGTTTAAAATGTATTTTGTTTCTAAAAATTTAACTTTAAGTGGAAGAAATTTATTTCGGACCTATTATGAGATATTTTCAAAACTTAAACGCTTAGCATAATAAAAATAAAAATAAAATTACTTGGATTATTGAAAAATTATATTTTAATAAAAATAATGGCACCAAAAATCACAAGAAATTTATCAGCTACTCACTTAAGTAGATATGTTGGAAAAGGAAAACCCCTTTTACCATCTGAGCTCCCTACTGCAAGGGACATTTTAAGATAAGGATTATTTTTAAGAGAGACCAGTGACCTTAATAAAAGAAACTATACTGTCGATAAATTAGTTAATGGTATGACTCTTGCTTTATCTGCTCAATGGAAAAAAGCTAATTGCAAGTTTTTACATCCAGTAGTAATAAAAGAATGTAGTATTAAAGCTTAACTGAAGTATCTGTGGGAAACTGCAGTTAAAGTTAGCCTGGGAAATGCAAAAAATCAATAAAGGATATTTTCATTCCAAAAATTGACAAGCTTGTTGATATTTTATCCTATAAATGTTTAATAATGTTATGTTCAGAGTATGGTTGTGATCAAGGCTGTAAAAAGCAGGCGCATATTAAATGTATGTGTGTACGCAAAAACAAAATTCCTGTTATAGAACTCAGCTTTATCAAGTCACAGAGAGCCAAAGTTGGAAGTTTTGCCCATTACTATATTGGTTGAGTTGACACAATAAAATCAAAAAAAATAAAACAAGTTGTAAAAAGAAAAGAGGAGTATCAGCAGCAATTAGAAATGAGAGTTAAAAAATTTAAAAAAGAAGAAAAACTCAACCAAATGATTCTAGAAGATTATAATTGTCTTGCACAGATTATTCAAGTAATAATAAAATATGTTTGTTAGTAAATAATTCTAATATAACTATTTTTAAAGAAATTAAATGTTGATAAGGTGATTTATAAAATTATCTCAATATTTTTTACTTTTTAGGTTTTTCATACACCATTAACTTATGATATTGATAATAACACAAAGTTTAAGTCTTGTATTAATTTTTTTTTTTTAGATTGAAAAAACAAACAAAGTTGACTCAGAACCAAATATTTTTAAAAACCAAAACCTTACAATAATATTGCAACAGAATGGACATAACAAACATTGCACTTTCTAGTATGAGGCATCACACTAGCTTACAAGAAACCACAGAAATAGCGACAGCAGCACTTATAGATGCAAAAATTATAACAAAGAATGATACATTGATGATTATTGATCACAGCAAAGTTAAAAGGACGCAAGAGAAGTTAGCAATCGAATTAGATAATAAATTTAATAAAGATCTTAAAAATAATGTGATTTCCTGTATTTTTTTCGATGGCAGGAAAGATAATACAAAAGTATTAACGGAATTTGATGGTAGGTATTTCCCTGGTCTTCTTAAGGAAGAACATTATTCTGTTGTTACTGAACCAAGTGGTAAATATCTATTTCATTTTGTTCCTGATAAAACTGATCACAGAAAACATGCTGAGGTAATTGCAGAACACTTGGTTAACTGGTTGGTGGAAAGAAATTTAGGAACACAACTTCAAGCTATAGGATAAGACAAATGTAAATACTTACAAATGTAAATACTGGTTGGGAAGGTGGTGTGATACAATGGGTGGAAAGAAAATTGAGAAAGAGATTAGTGTGGATTGTGTGCGATCTTCACACAAACGAGTTAGGGTTAAGACATTTAATTATAAGCTTAGATGGCCCAACAAAATGTGGAAATAAGTGGTCAGGACTACTGGGAAAAATGTTAAATACAGCAACAAGTCTTGAATTTAATCCTAGATTTACAAAAATTGATGTTGGGCCTGCATAAATTGTTCTAAGTCCTGGAGTAATAAAAGGTTTAAGTTCTGATCAGAACTATGTTTACAGAATAACAAAAGCAATAAGGTCTGGTGATTTACCTCAGCAGTTAGCAATGCTAGAAATAGGACTTGTTTGTCATAGCAGGTGGCTCACAAAAGCATTAATATTTTGCAGGATATGGGTTTCTCAGCATGGTCTATATGGCACCAACCTTCAAAATCTTACATGGATTGTCGAATTTATTTTAGGTGTTTGTATTCCAAACTGGTTTAACATAAAAGTTAAATCATGTTGGGTTGAGGGACCAAGACACGTTTTATGCCAATTAGAACTCCTCAGAAGCCAGAGGAAACCAGTTCTTGGTATTTTAATGCCCACAATTAAAAGATCAGCTTGGTATGCACATTCAGAAGCTGTTTTACAAGCTATGATATGCAGTGAGAGTAAAGTAGAAAGAGTTCAAGCTGTGGAAAGCTTCTTAAGCTTCGTGAAAGATATCAAGAGCAAACTAATACTTGTGTTTATAGCCATAGACATCGAAGAACACCGGATATTAACATTGATGCTAAAGATCTTTTTAGTTTGATAGACTGGAGCAATAATATAACAGAACCACCTTTGACATGCAATTTTACATCTTCCGATACTAAAGACTTAGGTAATAACCCAATGGTTGTTCCCCATTGGAGTTCACATACACAATCAGTTGAGAAGTGTGTACAGCTTGTCACAGAAGCTGCAGGACATGTCCACACATCAGAAAAAAGAGAAGCTTACATAAGAGCCCAATTCATTAGCAGAGAGTTAATGTCTGCTAATAGGAGCAAGATAGACATGATGGAACTTCAAAGCTATACTTAAATAATATAGTGATTTTTTAATTATTATTTTTTGTTAAGCATAAAAAGTATAACATTCTGTTATTGTTTTAATATTTAACCTATATGTTTTATATTACTATATCTAATAAACACTTAATATTTAATAGATTATTTATTATTTCAATAAAATAGTAGTGTTTTTTTCAAATAATATTAGTTGCCATAACAATTTTCAATTTTACAGACAAAAATATGTGCCTAAAATGAATTTATTTTATGAGAAAGCTCAAGTTATAAGAATTACAAAAACTATAGGGCTATCTAACAATAGGATGCCAAACCGCCTCAAGTGTAAAAAGCGCTACAACGTACTTTGTAAAAATTACTATATAAATAATAATAAAAAATAATATGTACTTTGTACAAAATATAAGGTTTTTTATAATGGTATTCTTACATATTTAACACATATAAGCAGAACTTTTCAATTTTTTTTTATGACTTTTGCAATAAATAGAATACTAAAAGAAATTAAAAATAAAACTGTTCGACTCTAGGCAGAAAAAAGTTATTCAAAACAGCTAAACATTTTTCTGTGGGTGCTCACCAAGTAGTTTGTAGAATTGTCATAAAAAGTAAAATTAAAAATTAAAAAAAATATAGCTAGCACTAAAATTCAAAAACCTAAAGTTATTTTTCTTATTTATATATAAAATCCTAATATTTTTTAAATAACTTTTTTGAAATCAATTTTTTTTTAAATGACACACCCTAATATATATATATTAAGCTAAAAAGTTTTGAGTCTGGCTAAAAGAGGACAATTATTTATTTATTTTATATTATTACTCAAAATGTCACTTACGCTACACAGAAAACAAGGTAAAAAAATTGCTTTAACTTTTAGGTCAGATTTCTGCAAATCAGTAAAACAGTTTGTATAGAATTCTCAACATCTTTCAGAAGATGTTGAGAATTCTATACCAATTTAAAAAATTTATAAAAATTTATCAGAGGTGACCGGCTAAGAAAAATAAACTGTTTTTTTTGATACTATATATTTAACTTACGATACATCATTTACATTACCAAGCGATTATTAATATGTGTGTTTTTTTAATCTATTATTAAGAGTTAGAGTGACAAAACAAAAGAATTACAAAAGTATTGAACTCATTCCTTAAAAATATTTAACAAAAAATATTTTAAAAAACTGGTGGCACTCTTCCTGAGTGATTTTTCATAACATTTATGAAAGTTATCAAATCAAAAAAGTTTTTTCCGCAAGACCAAGAGCAACTTTAAAAATTTATTTCAGTATTAGAGCTATATTAATAATTATTTGAGCCATTTAAATAAAAAAATCTTTTGTATGTTGAAGTTTTTACTTACACTTCTTACATTTATGCGTATTACCTTATTTTCATTAGGTTAAACTTTTAAAATGCTGCAAAGTATTTACATTTAAATCTTTTAAGATATTTTTGACACAAAAACTGCTATCACAGTTTTGGAGGGAGAGGAGGTTCAGGTATATGTGATTGTTTGTGACAGGAGGGAATGAGGTAAGAGTTGACAAATATAGGGTGAGATGCTTTATGGATGACACCCCTTAATTGCATTTACAAACAATTTGTTTTACTAAAACATTTCTGAAATAAAACCAGGATTTATTAACTCAGAAAACAGAAACTACATTGATCAGTCAGATTTGAACTTATTACAACGGAGCTATTCAATCACACTGTTAGCAGGGTCTTGTTAGATAACTGATTCATATTTGTCTAACAAGACTCTACTAACTTTTATCTTAGTAAAGTTTTATATTACAGTAAATATCATTTTATTTTACTTGATGTACCTTTATACAAATATTAACTTTGATTTATAAATATACAAAAATAATTTTTTATTTTGGTCTCAGATCATTAAATAATAAAAGAAACAAAAAAATAAAGATATTTCAATGGAAAACAAACTTGTGAAGTATGCTTTAACAACTGCTTGTCTTTTAAATTATAAATTCTCTTCTCCACACCAGGTAAGAGAAGCTTGGCAAACAATACCAAATCACCATCATATTTACCTAATATTAATTACAATAATAATTTTATACTTAATGATATTATAATTACATTACTAATGATACTATAATTACATTACTAACAGTATAACTAATATGATAAGCCTAAATAAAATTAGATTGGACTTGATATAAAAATAACTAACTAGTGTGTTTTATCATTTTTAAACTCATCAATTTTTACTTTGTTGTCTATCTCATCAAAAGTGTCAAATGTTTGGCCGCCTTACAACTTACATCACAACCTTAAAATATGTCACTAATAGTGATGTATTTTTTGTTGTTCAAGACTCAAGAAATTCTATAAAACAAACTTCAATTTATATTGATTTGAATCATGAAAAATTAAGTGATTAAAGCCTGAGTACAAAAAATATCTTTGTATTTAAATAAATTTTGATTTAATAAAAATTACAAAAAGGTGTTACCTATATTTATTAAATGGCTCTTATAATTATTAAACATAAGTTTAATAAGTTGTGTAATTTAAGTTACCAAAAGAAATTGTTTCTTCAAATATTGTCAAAAAACAACTTTACTTTAGCATCACTTTTTCATAATTATAGCAAATCAAGCAGCTTTTTTTTGTTATTTTCAAAATAATATCTGGTCTGATAATCAGACCATAGCCCTTGTTGGATTCGCTTTGTAAGTAAATGCTACAAGAAGTTTACTTCCTTTCATCAATACTATCTAATATCTATCATGCCTATAGTTTTTTTATCTAATATCTATCATGCCTATATATTTTTGCCATTTATATAGTTGGAGGTGTCTTAGTTACTGTGTTAGCTTACCTGTAATTAATGATATATGTATGTTTGTGTTCTGTCTAAATTTCTGGTGCGATGTTGATTAATCTGTAAGTTGCTATTTGCATTTTTGTGTTTTGTCTGAACCTCTGGCAATATGATGACTCTTCTGTAACAGCTTGCGGCAACTTGCAAACAACTATCACAACATTGCTGACATACCTATATTCATGAATTTAGGTATTATTTTGTTTTTGAATTATTCATGAATATAGGTATATCAACAATGTTATGATAGTTGTTTGTAAGTTGCTCCAAGCTGTTACAGAAAAGCCATCAGATTGCTAGAGGTTCAGACAAAACACAAACATACAAATAGCAACTTACCTTCTCACTTTCAAACAAAAAGTACATTGTAAATGTAGTTGGACCTGCTTTATCTGCCAAGCTTAAGCCACTATCCTATTGCTGTAAAGTCATTGCTCAAACATTCAGCAAAGTCACATCCTTTTATTGTAACTGTCTTTCCATGCTGTGAAATTTTATTATTTATCAAGCTTATTTACTTGCACATAAACAAAAACTCAAAAATGTCACCCATTTTCATGTTTTCCTGACTTATAAAACTTTCCTGAATTATAGAGAGAGAGAGAGAAATCTCCTAATAATTAAGAAAAACATTTAATTTAAAAAGTTATTTAAATTTAAAAAAAAATAGTTTTTTTCTTCTTCCTTTTCTATTTTTAGCAAAAAATTAAATTCCTTGTAAACATGTTATAACTTATAACACTGCATCATAAAGCGTACATTTAACTTTTTTGTCCTATAGCAAGTAAAAGCGCAATAGTATATATCTTTTTTAAAACTTCTAGATCGGTATTAGCCGACCCTAATTCCCAGGGTTGTATATATATATATATATATATATATATATATATATATATATATATATATATATATATATATATATATATATATATATATATATATATATATATATATATATATATATATATACTTAATCACTTTTTACAACAACAATGTTTAATAAATAATAAATGCATGCATAAATTTATAATTTGAATTTGTTTATTCATAAATAAAAAATTTAACAAGCAAAACCATAAAAAAACTTTAGTTGTAAACTCTAATGCAGTGTTGCAGCACCAGGCACCACTATGATGATGTTGAATGTGTTCGAGTATTTTTATGTCACTTTTTAGGTTAGGAGACCAGGCTTGGATGGCATACTCCAGGTGAGGTCTAATGTATATTTTATATAGTATCCTCCATAACACAGGCCTTGTTTTAAAGCATTAAGGGTAGAGCGATTTTCGTACGTCTTAAGCAATTTTTTATGTAAGCAGTAAGCAATTTACTTTTTATCATTTTTTAACTTTTAAATTATGGTATAAGCAGTAAGATAAAAGAAGTAATTAATTTTTTAAAAAGTCACATTAACTTTTGAATGACGCTTATGTAAAAATATTTGTTACAAAAGTTTGAATGACAATTATGTTTGATTAGTGCTATCTAAATAAAAATTTAAATAATAACTTAAATAATAATTTTTTTCATTAGTAAATATTTACTAATAAAAAAAACTCAAATAAAATTAAAAGTTTATTTTTATTTTTTCTTTGCTTGAAGCAAAGATCATAAAAACATAATTTAATTCTGATTAAAAAATATGATTTAATTTAAAACTAATTAAATAAAAATATATAATTTTATTCTGATAAAATTTTGGTTTTCCTTCCAAAACATTTTTTTTTGTACTCAAAATTAAATTTTAAATAAACAGCTGCATAAAAAGTTTGCACAAAACGAAAATTAACATTTTTTTTTCATATAACGCAAGTTAAATCGCAGCAATTATTTTTTTAATAAACGATATATATTCAGCGATGAAACTTTAATAATAAAATAATAAACTAATAAACTTAAAAGAAAGTAAATAAATTAACATAATTTTTTTATTTGCTACTTGCTAATTTTTTTAAAATAAAAAATAATTTGTAGTTGCAAAGTCGCTATTAGAAATTTAAGAAATAATCATTTTAAAAACTTAAAAATTGAACATATTTTAATTCATTTATGCAAACGTTGAGAAAAAAAGGAAATTTGTTAATACTAAACAATTATAAAAATGTAATATTAAATTTAATTAATATTTAAACAAAAAATAAATAAGTAAATAAACATTCCTTTATAGTAATAATAAAAAAGTCATTAAATAACTCATTTTGTGGTAATTAATATTATTGCAGTAATTTAAAAAAGTCAATGTCTTTAAAAAATAAAAAAATAAAGAGAATTTTATGACGTCAAATATCGCGTTAAGTTAATGCATTAAGCATTTTTTATTTAAAACAAGGCCTGATAACATTAGATTTTTTTAGTTATTTACTTGGTTTGATCCAGCTTCTACAGCTTCTACTTGATGCTTAGCCTTGAGGTCAATTGATGTTAAAACACCTAAGTCAGCTATCAACTCCAGGAGCTTTAGAAGAAGACGTTGGTGAAGTACTTTATCAAAAGCAGCCTGTGCTTTTGACAAAGTACATCACCAATGTAAATCTGTGTAAATCACACTTATGGCATAACTATTAAATAGTGCTTCAACAAAGATGTCATGCGCCTCAACAGTTTTCAATTTTGTACTTAATGACTACTGATCTTGACTAGCTCTTTGCAGGGTGCCTTATGATCTTCTTAAATCTCTATGCGAGTCCAACTGCAAGATATTTGCACCAAAGGTTTCTTTTCTTTTCCACATTACTTTTTCAACTTCTGGTGTATTCCATAGTCATTTTTTTTGCTTGAACAATGTTTTAGTTAAAGGTATGTGCAGGGTGACCACTTCATTGATTTTGTCAACAAATACCTGATAATTATCGCTTGCTGAATTAAGAGTTAAAAATTTTCACCCAGTTGTGGATATAATTAGCATTGAGATTGCTTCAGAGCTTGCCCTGCTCCAGATTAATCTTTTCGATTCTTCTTTAACAGAAGTACTTTTTGTAACAGATGATCTAATGAGTAAGCAGTGGGATTCCCCTGCTGGTGTGTAGCCAAGTGAGTTGCCTTCATTTAGATAATCTACAGTCGCCACCAAAAGTTTGGAACATTGTATAAAAAACACAATTTTTATTAAATTATTCAGTTATTTTATCAAAATATATTAGTAACCATGAAAATTTCAGAATATAATAACTTTGAAATACTAATAAATGTTTTATGAGTTTAATACTTGAATTTAATACTTGGTATGGTGTCCTTGAGCTTTCAAACAATTAGCTAGCTGGGTAGGCATAGAGTGAACGATTTTTTTTAAATATTCAGGGGTCATTAATTGAGTCCATACCTGTCTAATTTTTTCTTGTAGATCATCGGAAGATGATGGTCTAAGTTTCTGGACTTCGTTTTTAAGATAATTCCAGCAGTTTTCAATGGGATTGAGGTCTGGTGAATTACCAGGCCAGGGGCCAATGACTTCAATCCATTCTCAAGTAACCAACTGCTTACAAGCTTGGCCTGTGACAGGGTGCTCCATCATGCTGAAACTTGTGGGTATTTGTGATGTTCATGAATATTTTAAGTTTTTCTTGAAGTATTTCAAGATAAATATGGCCATTTATTGTGGTGTTAGGAGGCATAAGCCATAAACCACCACTTTGATTGGCTGTAATGGCACCCCATATCATGATTTTAGGGCAATGTTTTACAGTTGAAAGCAAATATTTGGGGTTGTATCGTTGGCAAGGCGGGCGTCTAACACTTGTAGAACAACAACCAAATTGTTCGATTAATGATTTGTTGCTAAATATTACATCCTCCCAATCTTCCGCTGACCAGTCCTTGTATTTCTGACAGAAGGCAATATGATCTCTAATATTTTTTCGAAGAAAGGCAAGGTTTTTTTGCTGGAACATGGCTTGTTAAATGAAATTGTTTGCACAAACGTCTTCTAATGGTCACAACACTTGGTGCAACACCAGTGGGGAATACCTCAGATGAAATTTCAGAAGCACTGGCAAACGGATATGCTTTTGCATAACGATGGATGCAATTATCTGCCCTTTGAGTAGTCACCTTTGGTCGTCCAGCTCTAGCTTTACTTTTAAAATTACCAGTGTCATGATATCGCTTCAATGTTTTTATGATACAGCTATGGGTTACATTAAAACGTGAAGCAATAGAAGTCAGTGTCAATCCTTGTTCACGTAGAATAACAATCTGAGCACGTTTTTTCGGTTGTTAATTCATTAGTTCTTCCCATAATTATTATTTTAATTTTTTTCTAAAATAACAACAAACTATGACTAAAACAAATTTAGTGGCTTATAACATAAATTACGCATGTATATAATACTAATACTCAAAATTTTCAATTAAAAAAAAAGGTTTTTAACAAGTATTTTAAATTTTCTGCAAATTTTTAAAATGTTCCAAACTTTTGATCGCGACTGTATATGGTCAGGTAAATCAGTGATTAATTGCTTGACGGCCTTTCTTCTCTATTTTTGTGGTAGTTGGGAAAAATGACCATTTGCATAAGAAAGTTTTTGTTTAAACAATAATTGAATTTCACATCAGTAGGAAGTTTATTTTGTATAAATGTGACTGTTGCTGTGCCACTTTCAGTCTCAAACGAAGATGCGAAGTAAAAGTTCAAGAGTCCCTGTTTTTATCCAAAGTCTAGGACTTTGGAACTCAGAGATTTTTTTATCAGCATAATAGGGTTTCTGAACACTGTTTAACAGTAGCAAAAACAACTATTTTTTTACAAAAAAACAAAAACAGGAAACAGCTGTTTTTAAATAACTTTTTTAACTGTTTTTTTAATTGAAATAAGCGACATAAATTAAAAACTTTTTTTATGCATTCGCATAACGATTAAATTCTATTTCAATATTACAATGATTTTTAACTGCATAAAGTTTCATTCAAACCTGAAAATGTTCAAATTTTTTTATTCAAACACTTTCAGATAAAAGTTTAATTATTTTTATTTTAAAAATTAACAATTGCTAAGAAAAAAGTTTTTTTATTAACAATATAACACCACGTTTATTAAAGCAATATAAATGGTAATTTAATTTGATTTATTTTTCAATAACATTTTAATAAATATAGGATATTTTAAAACATTTTAAAAATATAGGATAATAAGTAACTTTAATAAATAACTTTAGTTCAGTTGTTATCAATTTTTATAAAAAAAAACTAAGCTCACAGGCAAGTACTAAGGAGTTTCCTATTTTAATAGTTCTTTTTTACTAATCTAGTATTAAAAGTTTTTTAAAGGTTTCTTAAGAGTTTCTTTAGAGTTATAAATAGGGCTTCTACCACCAGTTTCTTATTTACATCAAATTAAATGCATAGTTACTAGTTATGAATTAGTTTTTAATGGTGGGTAAAATGGCTACTTAATATCCTTAATTTCTATTCATATTATTAGCAATGTCAGTCTGGATATACGCAACAAAATGAGAAAATCCAATTACAAAACAGTTGGAAGGACAGTGTCAGTATCGTAACAAAATAACAAAATGCTAACGAAATTCTACAACTAAAAAAAAATTAACGGACTTGATAACTGTTTAGATAAGACAACAGAATCAATAATAATAACAGATGAGAGAGCAAGTGAGAAGAGACAAAAAACTGTTGGCAACTTTTTTGCACGAAAGAAACTTCAAAATATTGTTTCTGATTTGGCTACGGATGGCATTTCAGTTCGAGCTATAACCAGAAATAAATACATTCGCCAGTCAATAGCTCATGATAAATTTAAACTCCCCGCTAACGAAAGTGATGTAATGAAACTTTTGTACAAAGATTTTGATGAAAAGCAAAAAAAAAAGATTGACACCATAAAATTAAAAGTAGCCAATAAACTGAAGTTTAGCATGACTGTTGATGAGGTTACTACTTTAAGAGGACAAAGATATTTTGGAGTTAATATTCATGATAAAACTGACAATATCATGTATAAAACAGGATTAATTCGAATTTTGGGTTCATGCAGTGCACTTAATATAGTTGAAATAATGAAACAACATCTAAATGTGTTTGGAATATCGATGAAAAAAGATTTGGTTGCATTTACTCAGGATGGAGCATCTGTAAACAAGAAGTATATTCGAAATTTAAATGTTATTGGTCAATTTTGTCTTAATCATGGTATACATCTTGGAGTATGCGACACACTTTATTTAACTAGATTTAAGCGACCCCTGTGATGACAATAACAATGAAAATGATTCTTTTGACGAAGGCACCAATTTTAAATTTATAAATGATGATTGCGAAGATTGTATTGACTACAATAATTTACTTAAGAACTCACGCAAACTGATAAAATACATCAAACTGTCAAGTGTTTGAAATCAAGTTTTTCAATCAAAGTCAAGGCTTTACTTGGAAAAAAAAATTGAACTTCATCTTGATTTAAAAACTTGTTGGAATACAATACAAACAATGCTTGAGCCATTGATAAAGACAGAGACAGCAATTCAAGAAACTTTATTAGAATTTAAGGCAGATATAAGTTTAGCCAATAATGTAGACTTTGATGTCTTAAAAGGTTTACTAGAGGCAATGAAACCCATTAAATTTGCTATAGAGAATCTTAGTAGAGAAAATGCAACTCTGTGGAGTGCTGACACGATTCTAGAATTTATGTTTGAGAAACTTTCTTTAGTTAACAGTGAAATTAGCAAAAAATTGATGGATAATATGAGAATTAGAGTTGATGAACGCCTGAATACAGATATCATGAATTTATTATGCTGTCTAAAGAACTCTACAATAACCCCATCCAAAGATACGATAACTTTTGCAAGAATGTTGGCATCTCGACTTTTTGGTGTTCATGACGTTAATATTATTGAAACAACTTCCAGTAATCCATCAGATAAAATTTTAACTCTACAAGAGGAGCTAAATGTGCTGCTGAAAAAAAATGAATCACCAATAGTGCCTTTTAAGAATACAGGCCAGTGTACAGAAAACGTACAAAAGCTTTATGATGCATTATTAACAATTAAGCCCACATCTACGGATGTTGAAAGAATATTCTCCGTTTGTGGCAACTTTTGTACAAAAATAAGATCACGAATTTAAGATAAGTCATTATCAGCTCTTGTATTTTTGAAATACTATTATAAAATGTAAAGTTTATGTTAGGATATATATTATTGGAAAAAATTTTACTATTGCCTACTTAATACAAGGAGGGTTGGTGGGGGTAATAAAGGGGGGTTAGTGCGAATTTCAAAAACAGTAAAACAACTGTTAACAACTGCTTTTGAAAATTATAACAGTAAAACACCTTTTTTTAAAAACCACTGTTTTTCAGAAACCCTATCAGCATATCAGCGTTTCCTATTTAACCCTTATTAACTTTTATAAGTTTATACCTTAAATTTTTTTAGTTACATAGCTTTAAACCAGTAAAAGCATAAACGCATTGAATAACGCTGCATATAGCAAGCCCTCCAGCAATTACCTTATTATTAAATTACCTTAAAATGTGCAGTGTGTTTATGTCATAAATATGCTGCCACCAGCAGATGTGTTTAAAAGATTAAATGATAATGAAAATGTAGGCTTTAAAAGAAAAATAGAAAGATCAAGCAGCAGAGCAAAATACAAAATAAAAAAAACTTTATCCATATATCAAATCCGTTGCAAAAATAGCATCTGCTAAGGTTGCATCTCTTTATCGAGCTTGACACTTTCTTACTCCGTATTCTATTCTCCATCTCTATAAATCTCAATTCCAGCCTTGTATAGAATACTGTTGCCACATCTGGGGAAGATCTTCTAATGATGCCCTTTCTCTTTTAGACAAGGTGCAAAAACGCATTGTAAACATAATTGGACTTGCTCTTGCAGCTGACCTTCAACCATTATCACACCGTCATAATGTTGCTTCTCTTTCTCTTTTCTATAAATACGATAATGGGCACTGCTCTAAAGAGTTAGCGTCTCTTGTGCTATCTACTAAAATTCATTTCCCGTCATTCAACTAAGTCTCATCCTTTTTCTGTGACTGTTCCTAAGTGCTCCAAAAACTCTTATTCCTCTAGTTTTTTTCCTCAAACATCAGTTCTTTAGAATTCACTTCCTTCATCTTGCTTTCTTGATTCATATAATTTGCAATCTTTTAAGACTTTGGAAGCAAAGATGTTTAAATAAAAAAAAAAATCAGAAATAACAAACACAGAAGAGTTAAAGATTAAGTAGTTCATTTTACCCCAATAAGGTGAAGTGAACTAGTAAACATGTTATTTTTGAATATATATTTATTATTGTAATACTAATTTTTAATCTTAGTATTTTGTTTCATGTTGTACCTTATACTTTTAATGGTATAAATTTTAAAAACTGCAAGATGTTAGACATTTTTTTCAATAATTTTCTTTTAAATATATAAAGCAGATTACTTTATCCCAGTTTACCTAAACAGGTTTTGGTAAACTGGGGTAAAGTGAAATGTTATAAAACATTTCTAAAAAATCAAATAATTTTCAAAATGATGTTTTTTAACTATTACAAAAAGTAACTGAATGGAACTAAAACAAAGATAAAAAAACATTTGAAATTATTGAACAAAAATTAAACAAATAAATTTCATGATTTTGAATTTGATTTTGAAGAATTTAAAAATAAATTTAAAAATTTCATTGAATCAAAATTACCTTTGCTGCTTTTACTAATAATAAACTTTTTTATAATAGCAGTTTTATTATTATAACTTGGTTCATCAGCCAATGTTTTACAAAGCTCACAAAAGCTGTAAAATGAGTCAACCGCCATATTTTCAAATTAGCAATAAAAATTCAATAAGATTTTCCTAAAAAAACAAGAAAATTTTAAAACAATAAAAAATAAATTATGTAAGTAAAATTAATTTCTATATTTTATATTATCAATAAGGATATAGATGTTTTGTGTTATTACCCATTTTAAAAAAATCTAAAATTGTTCGTGTTTCGGAGTTATAGAGTTGAGAGAGGGTTATAACCACAAATAAGTAGCCTCCTCGTCTTTAGTGACTTTCTCGGCTTTGAGGAGGTGAATTAACAAAATATATATATATATATATATATATATATATATATATATATATATATATATATATATATATATATATATATATATATATATATATATATATATATATACATATATACATATATATATATATATATATACATATATATATATATATATAAATATATATACATATATATATATATATATATATATATATATATATATATATATATATATATATATATATATATATATATATATATATATATATACATATATATATATATATATATATATATATATATATATATATATACATATATATATATATATATATATATATATATATATATATATATATATATATATACATATATACATATATACATATATATATATATATATATATATATATATATATATATATATATATATACATATATATATATATATATATATATACATATATTTATATATGTATATATATATATATATATTTATATATATATATATATATGTATATATATATATATATATATATATATATATTTATATATATATATATATATATATATATATATATATATATATATATATACATATATATATATATATATATATATACATATATTTATATATGTATATATATATATATATATTTATATATATATATATGTATATATATATATATATATATATATATATATATATATATATATATTTATATATATATATATATATATATATATATATATATATATATATATATATATATATATATATATATATATATATATATAGTAGAAAATAAAACCACGTGATTTTTACAACTTAAAGTTTTATGCTATTGCAATTATCAGGTTAAATACAAATATAGTTTTTTCGTTAAAAAAAACTATATACAACTGCAACTAGTTACGTAAAACAATAAGCAAAAATTTATTATTTTCTACTATAAGGTGGCATAATTCCTGAAAATTGTGTAATAAACACTCCTTTACGGTCTGTATAAGACTTCATAGTACTGCATAAATCATAACAGTCAACTAGGAATCCAAAAGAAGACATTTTATAAACAATCTTCTTCAATTTTGGTAACTATTGTGCATCCACCTGATTTTAATTGAGTTAATCTTTTCAGTTTGCAAAAATATAACATTGAAACATACAATTTTAATAGACTCTAATGAACAAAAAATTATATCAGTAGTTCCGCAAACTACAATTAATTTAAGTAATAAATAAACAGTATAACTTTACTTTTATGATAAACTTAAATTTGGAAGAAGACGCAAACGAAGTAGTTTTTAAAAGTTAAATCTATTTTTGTCACCTCACTTTACGGTAACTGTTTACAAAATATACGAACCAATTTGAGATAATAAGTTTTTTTTTAATAAGAAATGAATTTTTTTAACATTTTTAAAATATTTTATCAATTCTGGTAATAGTATTTAATTTGTTATCAGGACCGTTCCTAGGAAGGGTGGCAACCGCCCCGATGCCTATGGGGCGCTAGGGTAATTTTTTTTTAGCGGTCTTTATGACTTTATAAAATATCTTTACCATTTAAAAGCTAGGGCGCAAAACATTTTCAGTTATTGACTTAGGTCCCGAGAAAAAGTTTAATTTTTACTTTTTCGTTCATTTCAAAATTGTTACTTTTTAAAAATTTCTTTAAATACATTATACATCTATTTACTTTTTTAGTAGGCACTTCAGTCACGTGACAAATTCCGTAGACAAAGTTTTCGAAGTTTTTTATATATAAAGAGGTAAAATTTAGACCGATTTTTTTGACCTATTATGTCACAGTAAAACGTTTTACGAAAACTAAAATGATTAATCTTTCATAAAATATCTGTTAGAATTTTTAATAAAAGTTTATCTGGCTGTAGGAGCGATTTTAATTAAGTTTTTGTAATTATTTTAGGTAAAAATTATTTTATTTGCGTTCTAGCATCCTTTAAAATAATATATAACCTTTTTTCTTTTCTTTTATTTTTTATTTACAAGCTCAATTTTTTTCAGTAACTGAAAACAATTTGAGCTTGTACAACAATATTAAAATTGTAGTAGATAAATTTAAATCGTTAAAAAAAACAATAAAAGAAGAGATGTATATAAGCTGATGCTCTTTGTACCGCCTATTTCTGAAACTAATTGTGAACTATGCATATCAAGTAAGAAAAATAAAACTTTTTTTACCCTTATAAATGATATAATAATGGATAAAGCCTTTATCTGATTGTCAAAATAAGTTCAAATCTGGTAAAGTTTGTATTAGTAATATGGAAAAAACAATTACATCTAACGACCTAGAAAAGATATATAAATTATTACATGCAAGTAATAAAGCAAAGATTCGTCAATTAAAAAAGAAACAAAATAAGGAAATAAAAGATTTCTATAATAAAGTCATTACAAATCTTAATAAAAAAGCTAAAATTTTGTTGGTAAGCTTGACAATAAAGTTGCACTCCTTCATGAGGAAAAAAGAATTACATGCAAAAAATTGTATTATACAAACAAGAAGTTTAGCATGGTAGTTAATAAACATGAAATTTTTTCTTCTAATAGTTCAAATACTGACTCTCCTAACACTAGAGTATTAAGCAAAGAAAATAAAGATTTTAATTTAAGTTGTCTTCTCCATGATCACAAAATAGTAACATTTCAAAATGGAAGGTAATGATATAAGAGAAGTTATTATGGAGTTAGTTTCTTTGAATGTCAGCATGAACAAAGTTAATGAAGTAATCACAATTGTTTTAAAAAAAGTAGCAAAAGTAGATATAGAGAAGCTTCCCTCAATTGGTACAAAATTTTGATTTATGACTTAGGCATTAGCACTTGCTCAACTTCAAGTTGCAGAAGAAATGATAAAAACTGTAGAAAATAATTTGGACAAATGTCTTCATAGTGACGATACCACTAAACATCATAGATATTTTCAAAATTTCCAAGTTACTACCAAAAACAGAAGTACTTCATCTTTTGGACTATGTAAAATTGCTGGCAGTGATGCAGATTGTACTATTAATGCATTAACAAAAACATTAGATGATATATGTGACATTTTAGAAATTAGACTTTGCAGTATTGGATCTTTTAATTTGTACAAAGTCTAATGCCAAAATACAAACTTATACAAGCTTATACTATGTGGTATAAAAACAAAACACTAGACTGGTTGGATAAAAAGACTTTAGGTGAACATGGTTCATTGCTAAAAAATGCTTCAACAAACTTTAGTAAAATGAAAGATAAATACAAACAGAATTAAAGTTTGGAATGAGTGAAAAATTGTCTGAAAAAAGCATTAAGCTAAAAAAGCAGCTGAAGATAAGGCCTTCTTCAAAAAAGCTAAATCGGTTAATGAGTTGTTAAATTTGGGGATGAAGGTGTGGTTGACCTCAAAAGAAGCAGATTATGAATATGCTTTGTTAGTCGACGCCATTAAAACCAAAAAAATATTAAGAGCACAGTTGGATTTTTATAGGTATGTAATGGAAGTTAAATGTGAACCTAAATATTTTTACAAAACTAAAATGCTTGGTAGTAAGCGAATAGACTTAACAAACTGTGAGTTGTTCAGGAATTTACAATCAGTTATTAGAACAAGGACTTTTCCAGAGCCCATTGAGAGAAAAGTTATTCTTATTGAAAGAAAAGAACGCGATACTTTGATTGCAAAACAGAAAGAAGAGTTAAGTGAAAAATTAAAGAATGCAAGACTGTCTCAATTAGCAAATCAACAAAAAATAAACATTTTGCCTATTATTCTAAATGATGTTAATTATCTTGTTGGGAAATTTATTCAACATAAAATAGTGAAAATCGACATTAAAAAATACTTTTTGGTGTACAGGTGAAGTTCGAGTAAACAAGTTAACTCCTAACTTAAAAAAATTTTGTTTGATGTGGTCTATGAGACTAAAGAAAATCAAGTATGGACTTTTCCATTGCTTGTTGACCTTGAAAAAGGAAAGGTTATAGTTCTGTAAAAAGCCTATTTTACAATTTATTTGAAATAAATACTAGTTATATATATTACTAGTAATATTATATTATAAATATATTATAAATTATATAATATTATTATAAATTAGTCGTATATATTAATCCAAAATATTTATATCTATATTGTTTATAGTTATTATAAAATATTGTATATAGTTATTATATATATTATTTGTATTATTATAGTAGAAATATATAAATTATATGACATTATTATAATATACTCGTATATATTAATCCATAATATTTATAAATCTATATTGTTTATAGTTATTATAACGTATCGTATATAATTATTATATATATTATTTGTATTATTATAGTAGAAATGTATTATAAATTATATAATATTATTATAAATTACTAGTATATATTAATCCATAATATTTATAATATCTATATTGTTTATAGTTATTATAATGTATCATATATAGTTATTATATATATTATTAGTGATATCATATAGAAATATATTGTAAATTACATTATATTATTATAAATTATTAGTGTATAATAATCTATAATATTTATATCTATATCATTTATAGTTATTATAACGTATCATATATAGTTATTATATATATTATTAGTAATATTATGTTAGAAATATATTAAATATGTTATAAATTATAGTATAAATATATTATTATAAATTAGACTTATATATTAATCTATAATATTTATTATATATATATATATATATATATATATATATATATATATATAATATATATATATATATATATATATATATATATATACAAATCGTTTATATTAATCTATAGTATTTATAATATCGTATCTATAATATTCAAAAAAATTTAAAATTGGGCAACCTTGTGTTTTAATTTTTAACAATTTAATGTTGTAATAGAGCTATGACTATATTAATGTGTAATGTGTCTATGACCAAGGCCGGCGCGATAGGGGGGTGTGACACCCCCCCCCCCCCCTCAATGATTTTTAGTCGGCAAACTGGACCCTTAGTCGGCAAATTGGACCCTTAGTCGGCAAATTGGACCTAGTTAGTCGGCAAATGTGGACTCCCTTTCGATATAGGTTAGACAGTCGGCAAATGTCGTCATGACAGTCGGCAATTTTTGGAAAACGAGGACCTTTTTTTTTTTTTTTTTTTTAGTCGGCAAAAGTTGTAATGACACCCCCCCCCCCCCCCCACGTGATTTTATTTGTACATTATACATACATACAAATCGTTTATATTAATCTATAATATTTATAATATCGTATCTATAATATTCAAAAAAATTTAAAATTGGGCAACCTTGTGTTTTAATTTTTAACAATTTAATGTTGTAATAGAGCTATGACTATATTAATGTGTAATGTGTCTGACTATATTAATGTATATATATTTTTTCTAGTGTTCTAAAGTTTAGTTGTGAACTGAAAGTTATTTTATTTGTATATTGTTTAATGATAACAGATAGACTATTGCCTAAAGTTGCGTAAATTATTTACGCAATTTTGATGGTAAAAAATATGTTAGAAAAAAACTGAAAAAAAAAAGCGCATTTTTTTGTCTAAAAAAATGTCAAATTAGGTAGTATTAAAATGCAAATTTCTTGACAACCATAGGTGCTACAAAATTGGATAAACCCATTTTGAAACGAGATTAAAATTTTGAATAAAATGAAATTAAAATTAACATTTCAACTTAATTTTATTACAAGATCATAAAATGGACTGAAGTGCCTATTTTTAGTCCATTTAAAAAATTTTGTTCTTAAAAAGTTTTTTTAATGTATTTTTTAACGATTTCTTATATTTACGCTCAAGTAAATTTTTTTTCGCGTTGTTTGTGTAATTGCTTTTTTAAATAATTTTGATTATTAACGCTGAAATCACGTTTGTTTTGCGCGTACAAAAAAATAAATATACTGACAAGAAAGTAAGTTAATAAAAATGTTGTAATAAAATGGGTTGTAAACTGTAATCAGTAGTGACCTTAATAATGAGTTAAAAAAACTTACATTACGAAGAGTTTATGTTACTATAAACAAAAATAAAGTTTTACACAGTTAATTTGAGTTCGAATATTTTTTTATTGAAAATGTAAAAAAAAACTGTCAGGTTCTTAGAGAAAAGAATT